AGACATTAGGTAAACTGACAAATTACCCAATCCAACAAAAGGTGCAAACGTTCTCCGAAACTCGTTTGTTAACGCAAACTTTTAATTTCGCGTTGAATGCAGAAATATTTTTCTTACATATTCTTACATATTGTTAGCTTACGGCATATTGTAAAGTATCAACACTTATGCTTTATTGTACAGATATGCGCTGTCTTTACAAATTTCATGTTTGCTACATTTTGAGGTGTATTTTTTGACGGCTAGGTCTTACATTACCATCCCTCATCTTTTTAACCCATGCAATGTTGAAATTGATAAGAGTCAACATGAGAAGATTAAAAAAGAATTTGATAGTTCTGAAAAGGGGTTGCAGACTTGGGTATACCATTTTGACGAGATACGTTTTGCTTAGGATGGAAAAACATAAGTGATTCAAATAATTAATCTTTCAGCAGGACAAGTTCTAGAGCTGACAAAAATATTTACTTCAACAGAATTTAGAGATTTATCAGATAGCAAACAAGCGTACACAATCTGTGTTATTAGCGCTCACTGGCTGTTAGGTCATCTATTGTTGTTACAAATTCAGCAGCTAAGGAAACGCAAAACGAGTTTTTAAACGGTCTTGAAACTTATATTAAGCGCTCTAAAATTCTTAGTGATGATATTAGTCACAACATTCTTTCTAACGCAAATTCAAATGTCAACTTTAGTATAGCCCCAGGTCTTTATTTATTACCATCAGATTTAAGTTTAAAAACCGACACAACTAAAAAATACAATTAAAAACTTTTGGAAGCTACTGCAACAAATTTTGGTTTTGCAAGCTTAAACGAAATAAAAAAAGGACCAACGGACACAAAACAATCGAACACAAAACCAACAGATGAATATACAGACACCATAGCGAGGAGCTTATAGCTCTTGCTGTTGCTGGTTGTACAGGTATTGCAATTTATTATGCTCAAACCTATAAAAATTTATACTTGTAATAAACACATTTAGTTTACTGGACCAGTAACTCAACCGTAACATACACATTAATGATTCCGCTAATAACGTCAATTTATTCAGAGATTGCTCTGAAACGGGTAATATAGCAAGGTGCACCAGGATCTCCAAGCTTTTGATTGATTTTTTGAAATGTGACAAACATGGTAGCTACACTGCAACTTATCAAGGATTTCCAAAACGAATACTTGAAACTATGCGCTTCGAAATTGAGGGAGCGAGTACTTATCAAGTTTGGGAACCAAATAATTTGAGTTAGCCAACTGATCGAACATATCGAGTGATTGATCAAATTCAGTTTAAGTTTTACAAAACCGATGAAACAGCTATTTTTTTCTTTGAAGCTTTTTTCTATTTAAAACTATACAAAAAATTTGCTGAAAATTAAAGAATAAACAGAATGTTTATGGAAAAACAATTATATCAAGTGCTTGCACCAATGGCTCAAATACCACTACAGCAAGTGCCTGAAAATCTAAGCACATGCTTTATTATAGCATTAACATGGATTCAATGTATGACATCAATTCCGGACAATTTTTACAATTATATACATAAAACGCAATACAATTTCAAAACTGCTGGTACCAGTTCTAATAAAACAGATCTTTGAGTAAGTGTGGTTGGTGGGTTTCTTTTGAGAACAGGTGTCACTGTGTCCTGTTAATATAGCTCTTGCTGATCTAGAGCTGGGTGTGAAGTGATTGTTTCGGTTCTGCTTATTAATATCTATAAAAAATATATATAATATCAGCAATAAGAAATATCATATGATTTACACAACGGGCGCAGAAGCTGCTTCTTTTTTTCCAAGAAAGGATAAGCCGAGCACTTATTTGATGGTGAATAAGTTCTTGAAGAAAAATATCAAAAATTTCTTAGATTAGTTGACGCAGAAATGCAAAAAATATAGCTTGTTGACGAAAATGAAAACAGACCTGAAAATGTACAGGATATTCAATAATATCTAACAATGAGAAGAGCTTAACAAACACTCCAGCAATCTGGAGCAACTACAACCGGAGCAACTGGAGGAGTAGCTTTAGGATTTTATTCTAAGGTAAGATTCCCCAAGAACTCATACTCTTGCAATTGCATATGTAACCTAAGGTAAATCCATTAATTAAATTTTCTCTTTTTTTTAACTTTTTTTTCGATCTCTTTTTCTTTTTATAGGAGTTCTTTTTTACTTTTTTCACGCTCATTTAGTAACACAAGCTATGTTTTTCCTGAGCTTGTCGCTTCCACAACTAATAGATGACCCTGTATATCAAAGAATAATAAAGTAAATTTATTTAAAATGCAAAACAACGCACTTAGAGCTTATATCCCCGACATTTTTCAAGCAATGATGTTTGCCAAAATGGTCAGAAAAAACAAATTTAGCGAAGTCCAAAAGTTTTTTTTAAATTATACAGTATTTGAAAAATGGCTTGTTGATATTGATCTCTTAAAAAAATTATCGGAGTTACTTTTAGTTTCTATTTGGATGATTAAATCAATTTAAAGAAAAGCAAGTATTATATAAATAGAAAATGAGTATCTTTAACAAACACGTCAGCAAAGTTCTTTTTATAAGATAATCCTTATAAAAAGAGCTTTGCTGACGTTGTTTATTACAGTACAGTATCGCATTGTTTATGACCTTGTTACAGTGGCATTAGTTACCGAAGCCTACTCAGCTTACATTTAAAATGACAGATCTTAGTAAGTTTGATCTTTTCTTAATTGGGAGTTAAAACCATTCGTCAAAAAGTGGTTGATATGAAACGGATGCCAGCCAGTATTATTATAATTGAGTCTCCTCTAAAATAATAAATTAATTAAATACATTAGATAACATAAAATGGCAGGCGTTAGGATGATTATTTTTGGCGCTATATCCAATGCCATCAAATATACGGGAATTAGGATATTAACCCAGAATATTTTCAGGAACAGTTTATTTTACAGTATATGTAAACACTGGATTGGGAGGGGGGTTCACAAAAGCATCAGCATTCACAACTAATGCATTCCAATAAAAGACTATTGCATCAGCGAGATTAGTTTGATTGCCGGGCTGTCCTCATAAGGGCTATATTAATTTTTCCTAGGCGAGTGTTTACTTACAAACCAAGCTATTTTATTACAATGCTGATTTCTGTCAAACTCAGCTTTAACTAAATTAAGGAAACGTGTTTGTAAACTAATTTCTGCTTGAGCCATTTTGATACATATATCATCTTCAGATCTTTAATTGAAAGTTTGTAGGATTGGTAACAATAATGGGTTTAACTCTTACTAGAAATAACAATATTTTAAACCTTGGTCCTCGAGAAAATACCTACCAATTTCTTGTCAAATTCCTTGTCAAATGGTTATCTTGAAACCGATAAAATGATGCTCGATGAAGATCTTATTATGTGGAACGAAAGCTATAGAAGTAATAAGGTATCAACATCTTGATATTGTTAAATATTTATATAAAAAATGTCCTTTTAATTTAAAATTTAATGCAAGATGGCAGATGTATTCAGGAGAGCTGTGTATGTTAACAATCTTGAAATTATAAAATTTCTCACCAATGAAAAATGCAAGTGAGATTATACTGTTATCACCTTAGCTGTGAGAAAAAAACAGAAATTGTCTCTTATCTTCATAGCGCTGGCCATCCAAGGGACCGATACACCTGTCTTTCAGTATCAACGTGGAGTCCATGTTGATATAAAAAATGGGTTGATGAGTGCTCCTGTTCTAAGGTTTACGCCTGAGTCTCGGAAGCATTTGATCAAGGCGACTTTTCAACCGTAAATAATTTTATTGAACATGGGTGTCCTTGTTAATAAATATGGATTGCATTGAATAATAAATTTATTATACACCTTGTTGTCTATTAAATATATTACATATTATAATATTATTAGATTTTTGCTTTTCTAGAACAAAGTTACTTTTTCTCTAAATACTCATAACATTAAAAATGCTAGCCATCAGTTACGTAAACAAGTGTGGCAAAAATGTTGGAAATAATATATCTTTTTTTAGATTTCCAAAGGATAATATTTCAGGTAAGGAATTATCATTCCAATCAAATTTATTAAATAATTAGTATATTAAGAAATGAAAGGAGCTTTTATAAACACTTTTTTACTTTAAATTTTATGAAATAAATTATATTTTATACATAATATGATGTAAATAGTTTCACTAAACTAATTAAGTTTCAAATATTATTTAGATGCAAATTTTGGATTCGTAATTGTATAAATAATTTTATAAAACATGACATTTCATCTGATGGTTAAGTAATATTGTGGAAGCATCTTTAAGAACAAAATAATTTGGACAAGGTAATGCTGTCCGACTTGTGCCAAAATTGACAGATTGTCATTTAATTGACAGATCGCCGTTTAAATCAATATTAGCTAGGCAAGTAAAATTGGAAATACATATTTTTGATGGTCATTTTTATGCTTTTGCAAAACGATTGCCTAAAAATCTTTTGTCAACAGTTAAAATGTCATCAACATCCTTTTTTATTAAAAATATGAATATTTTATTTGACACCTTGAACTCCTGAAACTAAAAGCATTTTTTTGGTGCTCGCAACCAAAATAAAATATCCAGTTTAGATGTCACCATTTCTAATATTCTTTGTCTCGCAAACGAGTTGCTTCGTGAGAATTTTTTCAAGGTTCGCACAACTCAATTTGATCAGGACTGTTTGAAAATTTCATTAATATGAAGCAAAATGTCTTAGTAATTTGAATCTTCTTTTCTAAAAATTCTTTTACAAAATGAATGATTTAAAAAAAATATTTAAAATAAAAAACGATTGCAATTATACATTTCTTTATGATGAACACGTTGATCATGCGTTTTATGTGGAAGTTTAATAAAAAACTTTGTTTATATCAGAATATCTTATTTTATAAGGTTATTTATTAAAAAAATTTAGCATGCATTATCTATGCTTGATTTTATTTTAAAACTAATTCTTGAAGCAAGGTATCAAAAGGTATCTCTTATTTCTTTTTGTTGTTTTTTCTCTCGGTATTACCAACTATTTATTTAGCTAATATGAAACGAATACAGTGATAACGTGATTAAAAAGACTTATGCAAAACATTTTAAATTTATATCAAATATTAACTGCGTTAAAATGTTAATGTTTGACGATATATAAGCAATGTTATAAAATAGTTTTAAAAAATTTTTATTTATAAAAGAAAAGTTTTCTTTATGGGAAGCCCTGGTAAGAATAATACAAAAGTTTTTATACTTCACAAAGAGTTGCGTACTTCTATGATTATTTGGTCATGCAAGACATCCCATAATGCTTTGTGGCTTAAGTTACATACATTTATCTAGAGTTAGCAGGCATTGACCAGAATTTAAATTTCTTTTTTTTTTTTTTTTTAAAAATTCAAGTTTATGCGCTAACTTCGCCACGGCTGATAATAAATTCATTGGATAAAAAATGTTAAAGAATAACTTTTGCATTCAATTGTAAATATGCCTCTTTTCACACATACTTTATAATCATTCTCAATGTTGTTTCGATCCCCACCTCAATTGGTATAGACAAAATGTCAAAAAAAAAAAAGATATCAATGCTAACTGAACTCAACTTTTGTGGTAGGTATGTTAACATTATCGTGGTAGGTATGTTGATAATATCGTGGTAGGTTAATATTATGAGTAAGTTGAATCCAAAATATTTTTAAAAACTTTTTTATTACAAAATTCATTTATTCAATTTAATGACAAACCTGAAATTTTTAAGGATCCTGTAAGACCTTTTGAATAAAGAAAGCAGGCTTGCTATCAAACCAAACGTTTTTTAGAGTCCTATTGGAAATTTAGACTAGGAAATGCTAGGGCGCTATTAAAAAAACGTTTTTATATATCTGCTATGTGATCATACACTTCTTAGTAACAAAAAAGATATAATTTTTTGTCTTTAGTTTATAACAATGATATATTGCATCAATGTGGTATATTTATTTTGGAAATTTTTTAAATTTTTTATGACAGCAAAGCGTATTTTGTTTCTAATTTTTGCTTAAACTTATTTTTTCTATATTCAGCTTGTAGAGCTCTATATGTAACTTGTACACAACTTGCAAACGTCTGTGTATAACTTGTACACAACTTGCAAACGTCTGTATATAACTTGTATACAACATGTAAACGTCTGTATATAACTTGTACATAACTTCTGTATGTAGATTGTGCACAACTTGCAAACTTCTGTTTGTACCTTGTAAAATCTGGTATACAAGTTGCAAACTTCATAAAGTAACTTTTAAAATCTGATATAAAACCAACAGACTCCTATATGCAACTTGTATAGTTTGATTCACAACTTACAGACTTATATATGCAACTTGTAGAGTTTGATATACAACTTAGAGATATCTATATGCAACTTGTAGTTAAATCTGAATTAAATATATTTTCTTCATTAGAACTTTTTTTTCTTAGCAAGTGCATGTGAGATTCGCGTTTTTCTCTATAACTTACGCGTTTTTCTTTGTTCTTCTCATGTCTGTCTACTGTAAATGGAGTTGTTTCTCTATAGTTCACATCATTTTTAAATTCATCTGACGGTAGAACATTAGTTGATATCTTTTTTAAGCAATTATTTGAAAAATTATATAACGATGATGGTTCCGAACTTTCAGATTTTTCTGAAACAACCGTCTTTTCACATTTTTCAGAAAGGTTATTTTCATTTTTTATAAGAATTGGAATTTTACTTTTTTTTTGCATTTGCTCACGACTCTTGAGCAAATTGTCGTAGGATAGTAACATTTCTTCATTGTCTAAAATTTTCGTTATTTGTATCAGATTTTTTTTATTTAATTCCTCACTTTCACTAATGTCTAAATGATCAATTGTAAACAATTTTTTTTTAGTAAATGCGGGATGTTCTTTAAGTTTTGAAACAATTTCAGTTTGTTCTTTGGTATTTTGTATTTCAAAAAATAAATTAACCAACACAGGTTTATTCAATGTGCTTTTAGATTGATTCATTAAACTTTCCTCTTTTTTTTTGGCAGTGCTATTTAAGTTTTGCAAACTTTCGTGCATTTCATTGGTTAGTTTTTCAAATTCATTGAGCATTTCATCAAATGAATTTATCGATTTTACAGTCAACTCTTCATCTTTCATACACGTTGTTTTTTGAGCAAAATTTAAGACCGAGTCTGTATTATTTATTAAGTTGTTTACATGACAATTTGTGGCACTGTTTTGTTCTTTATTTAAAAAATGTTCTCTTTTGTAGCCTAAAGAATTTGAATTGTTGTCGTTGGTTGGCTGTTGGACTGGATGATTGATATTAGAATGGTTTTGATGCGTTAAATGATTGGTATTAGGAGAATGGTTTCTTTGGTTAGTGACATCTATGGTGTTGGTTGATTTTCCTAGTTTATTTATAATAATATCAGGATTATGGTTTTCAAAATTTAGGCTATCTAAATAAATATTATTGAATAAACTATCAAGATTATTTTGGTCAACTTTTGAAATAACTGCAATATCCTTCTCTAAAATCGGTTGATGACATTCTTTTAAAACTGTTAAAATCCTCGAGAAGTCGATCTGCTTACTTGGAGTAACAACCGGGTAAATACTTTCTTCTTTGAAATAGGTTTTGCTCAAACTTGTTTTTTTAGCAAATGGAACTTGAAGCGGTTCACAAGATTTATCGCTTACTAAAAAGGTTTCAATTGGTTTCTTTGTGTTTTCAAAACAAGTTTCTATTGATTTTATAGTGTTTTCTAAATAAGTTTTCATTGGTTCAATTGTGTCTTCAAAATAAATATTGTTTTGTTTTATTGTTCTTTTAAATATTGGTTCGGTTGTATTTTTATTTAAATATTTTATTAGATTCAAATCTTTAATGCGTTCTGAATTCTCATTTGAACACTTCTCAATATTTAACTCATAAGAATTATTGGATGTAGAATAAATATTTTCCGTTTGTAAAACATTTTTATTGCTTTGCATGTTTATTATGTCAAGGTTGCTGCTATGGTTGTCGGTTCTATTACTTAAAATTTGTTGCTTGTTTGTGATATCTATATCTAAATTTTTTTGTTTATTGGTTTCATTGTTATAAAGCATTGAATTGCTATGCTGGTTATTTTTTACATCCACATTATTGCTGTGATTATTGTTTGTATGATTACTAAACATGGAACTTTGTTGATTTTTAACAAGATAATGGTTTTTATAATGATCATCGGTTTTATAATTAATAAGCGTGTTGTTTTGTTGTTTGTTTGTTAAATCAAAGTTTTTACTCTCTATTCCATGACTACGAAACATGGAGCTATTTTCTAGTTTGCTATTTAACTCTTTATCCAAATTTTCTTTTTTTGCTAAATAATTATTCGAAATGCGTTTAAAAGACTCATTACTTGTGTTATCAGTTTTTTGCTCAGTTGTATTTGAGTTATTGTGTTTTTGTTCATTTGTTCTTTTACCATCAAGATTTTGCTCAAAAGTCTCTTTATTTATGCTCTCTTCTTGGACTAGAACAGGTTGTGCAAAAGAAATATCTTCATCGCTTCGTTTTCTTGTAGTTCTTCTGCGCTCTTTAGTGGCTTCTATATCACTTTTTTCGTTTTTATCGTTTCTTCTAAATTGTCTTAAGAATCTTGATTTAAATGAGTCGCCTTCTTTTGAGCCATTTTCTTTCTGAGCTTTAATTTCTAAATATAATAAAAATAAATATAATATAAATAAAATAAAAAATTCACACACACACACACACACACACACACACACACACACACACACACACATATATACACACACACACACATATATACACACATATATACAATACACACATATATACACACACACACATATATACACACACACACACACACACACACACACACACACACACACACACACACACATATATATATATATATATATATATATATATATATATATATATATATATATATATATATATATATATATATATATATATATATATATATATATATATGAATATAAAATTAAAAAACGAAAAAGACAAAACTTTTATTATGGAACTTTAAGTTTTATGCTTAACGGCAATCATCAGCCATATATTACAAAACTAAAAATAAAACTTTAAATTAGAATTAGAATTACGGTGGCGTGAGTTCTAATGACTCCATGGAAACAAAATCTTAAAAGTTTTAAAATTATATCGTAGCGTAAACGTGATGTAAACCAACCAGAATCAATCTTCGGAATTAATTGAGGAAATAAGGAATTTATTTTTGTGCCTACACTTCGAGATTATTTCACTTCTTGTATTAAGTAGGTTATTTCCTTTATACATCAAAATTTGAAACTTCTCGTTCTCTTGGCGCTGGGTTGTATGGTTTGCATTGTTTAAGAATCTTCCATCTGACAAAAGATGTAAAGTTTTTTTCTTTTAATTTCCATACTTCTTTAGATAATTTGTATCATTCTTATATATAATTGCAATAAAGGATAAACCAATTAAAATCCTTTTATGCAATTAGATATATTTAATACAAGGAGTGAAATAATCGTGAAGTGTAGGCACAAAGATAAATTCCTTATTTCCTCATTTGATACCGAAGATTGATCCTGGTTGGTTTACGTCACGTTTACACCACGATATACTTTAAAAACTTACAAAACTTTGTTTTCATGGACTCACGTCACCGTAATTCTGATTCAAATTTTAACGTTTAATTTTTAAATTTGTAGTATATGGCTGATGATTGCTGTTAGGCATGAAACTTAAATTTCCTTTATAAAAGTTTTTTCTCTTTTCGTTTTTGCTCTGTTTTGAAAATTTATATATAATCAAAATAAATTTCCTAAATATTGTGCATTTTTCAACGAACAAGAGTTTTGTATTATTTTAATGCAACGATACGATATATATATATATATATATATATATATATATATATATATATATATATATATATATATATATATATATATATATATATATATATATATATATATATATATATATATACGATATATATATATATATATATATATATATATATATATATATATATAAATTATTTGTATTATTTTAATACGACAAACAATATGTTTATACAGTAGAATCCCCTTAATTCGGACTCTGAACGGGTAGGGGAAGTAGGGGCATAACCGCATAAGGAGGCACAACCGTTTTTTAACATTTCCCTTAGAAAAATATTATCTAATAAGCAAAAAATATACCACGCGTTAGTAAAACAGTTTCCTTTTTTTTGCATATGTCAAAAAGTGTGCTTGTTACGTTTCTGTGAAATTGTGCATAATAATGTTTATTTTGATAAAACTTTTATATTTACATCATATTTTTCCAGATCTTTTTTTTGAGAATTAAGCAATATTTGATTTTAGTGTTAAAGACATGTGTTATCAGCATTATTTCATCAAGTGAAAACCATTTTTGATATCAGCATAATCTAATAAGCAAGCTATGAAACTGAATTCTTTCTAAAAACTCTCTTCTGGGACAGAACTCTCTTCTGGAGCAGAACTCAAAATGTAAATATAAAGAACGCCTGCAAATTATGCAAACATGCAACAAAATCATAAAATAATCTGAGCTGTGAAAATTGTAAAGAAAATGTACCATGAAAGGTGTACCCCCAACGATTTTTGTGAGGGTGCGGTTGTGCCTCACAATGGGGGCAAAACCGTTTTTTTCACTAATTGTACTTTTTGTGAAATAACATTTTCAAAAACTGTTCAATTTTTTTCTTAATTGCATCAATTTAAAGCTTAATGATAAAGTTATTAAAACAAACTAGTAAAAAAACACATTTCGTTTTTATCTTCATCTAACATTATTTCAAACTTCACGGGGGCGGTTATGCCTCCACTTCCCCTATATATATTTTGTCCGACTTAGCAAATGTCCGAGTAAAGCAAAACTTTCGGTATAGAGAATTCAAGGGGAATTAAAAATTTGTCCAACTTAGCAAAAGTCCGACTTATCCAGGGCCCGAGTTAACGGAATTCTATTGTATATATATATATTCTGTAGGAATATGCCTCCAAAAGAATAAAGTATACTGCTGTAACGTAAAAACTTCACCACAAGATAGCGGATTCTATTATATCGGACTTACAGTAAATACTTGTAAAGACCGTTGGTACAAGCACAAAAACTCATTCCAATACAAAAACAAAGCAAGTTCAACAGAGCTTTCCAAGTTTATGCGGGAAATTAAAAAAAGGGGTTACACAAATCCTAGTATTACATGGAAAATCGTCGGCAAACCGCAACCGTTTAAACCCGGGGGAAAATTATACAACCTTTGAAAAATATCACATAATAACATCAACAATGATTTTATTAAACAAAAGAAATGAGCTAGTATCAAAATGTCGCCACGAAAACAAATTTTTTATAAACAACTTTAACGTGCTCTGCATAGTATTTTATGTAATTAATTTTTTTGTCGTTAAGATTATTGGCAGACGTGTATTTCAGGTACCCCCTTTAGTAATTCCGTTAAAAACGAGTCACGTTTTACGCATAACATTTATTAAAAATTATACTCTGAACCCTGAACCCCAAAATAAAATTTATTGTATTGAAAGCCATACCCAAACCAAACCCTATACCAAACCCGGACCCTAACCATAACTTTCAGGATTAGGGTTTGGTTAAGGTATCGTTTTCAACAATACTCGTTTCGTGTAAGACTTTTTTACGGACTTACTAAAGAGGGGTGCCTGAAATACACGTCCGCCAGAATAAATATATATATGTATATATATATATATAAATGTATATATATTTATTATATATATAAATATATATATATATATATATATATATATATATATATATATATATATATATATATATATATATATATATATATATATATGTATATATATATATGTATATATATATATATATATATATACATATATATATTTTGTATATATATATATATATATATATATATATATATATATATATATATATATATATATATATATATATATATATATATATATATATATATATATATATATATATATATATATATATATATATATATATATATATATATATATATTATATATATATATATATATATATATATATAAGGGTGTATCGAAAAACAACTTTTTTTGAATTTGAAATTGTAATAGAGCGGAAAAGTTGCATAATGATATAAAAAGTAATTATGCCAAATTATTTTGTAGTTTTTTTATGTCTTCAGTTCGCGCTAGGGTTTTATTTTTCGTAGAAAAACACGTTTTCTGATCCTTTTTACAAAATAAAAATAAAAATTCTATGCATATACTGGAGTTGTAATAGCGTTTAAACATTAAACAATGACTAGTTAAGAAATGGTTACAATTTTTAAGAAAATATTTTAATGTCTTCAGTTGACGCTAGTGTGCTGAGTTTTGACGAAAAAACACTGTTTCATTAGTTTCTGAAAAACAAGCTTAGCAGTCCATAATGTACAATTAAAGTTTTAATAGTGTGGAAAATGTTTTTGAAAAATGTTTAAAGTTGAGCTGTAATAAAGTTCAACTATTTGATTCATTTGTCTCTGTCTCAAACTGTCTTTTTGTGTTGAATATAGGCATTTTTCGCGATGCAAGTCTTGCACGAATGAAGCCGTCTCTAGTAGCCAAACCGCAAACTTAATCTGAAGCTTCGGTTACAAGTTTAATACATCTCTCTACTATTTGAGTATGGCATGGAAAATGCTGCACATCTGGAAGATTACCATTTGTAAACATTTCAATTAGATTTTCATCTGAAATGTGAGTGGTAATAGGAGGTTCACTTAGTTCACATTTAAATCAATCAATAAGGTCTATATAGTCTGTTACTTCAAAATTGATTTCTGGTATAGAGAACTTTCGAACTTTGTTTGTTTTGATTGTTCTTGCTTTCATTATTTGTTTTAATGCAAATTTTCTCACATTTGGACGAGTATCCGATATCATAGCCAGAAGCATATTTTCTGGATGTGCAAAAAAAGCATTCCTTTGTATAACTGGATCGATGATACTTTTTATTTCACTACTGGCTTACCTGGATAAATTGATGGTTAGCCATAAATGTCTAGCACCTTCCGTGCATGAGGAATCATATCTTATATTGAACCACATTTGGCAGTAAACTCTAATAACAAACTCAACTATTTCTCTCAGCTTGTGTGACGGTTCGCTACATCCAACATAATACCTGGTTAAGTTTTCCAGGATTTCGGTTAGCCAAAGCGTTTGGACAATAACCTGTAGATATAGCTTTGCAAATATCAAGTAAGTATTTTTGATCAGAACTAAGAGATTTTTTGTCTATTTTTGGCAATGTGACACTGACAGGAATGTAGTTGACAATTGGTAAGGTATCGCACAATTTAATTTCTCTTCCGATCGGTCCAGACCACCCGTTAGGTCCTGATGTAGGTCCATCTAGGTTTTGAATTAGATACCGTAGAGGCAGTTTATTAGCATGTATTTGACAAATAAACCAGTGGACAGGTCTTTTGAGTTCTAATTCGAACAAAGCAATAATACCATTACGAAATCCGTTATTGACAACTGTTCCGTCACAACCCATGGCATTTAATTTGGATGTATCAATGTTGTTCTGAGTTAAAAATGTTTCTATACTTGTCTTAATGCTGTATCCATGTCTTGATGCAGTCTCTACATGCCCTAGATA